AGAAGGTATTCTGCAGACTTAAACCTACACCATACAAGTAATCATCTACTTCCTTCTTCCACAAATTGGCCTCCTTTGAAGTTCATGACTTTTAGCCACACTACCTTCTAAAATCCAGCCCCATGCACTGACAGATGTCCTGTACATCATCACTGTACACCCAACTCTGTGTCCACACCCGGAATCACAGTCACCTAGGACTGACTGGCTTTCAATTCTGACACTGCCCCCCTCATTGAAGTCTCTTTCCTTTTCACCTTCTAACCCTCCCCCGCCATGAAAAATCAAAATCAAAACATCTACACTAAGCACTTATTATTTTTTAGTTCTACATAAGGTGAAACTTCCATTTTGCTTTGTTAGTACAAAGACTCTTACATAAATTCAATACAGCTGAAAGTGGATTTGCTCTCTAGGTAACCTATAAATACTAACAATAACAAAGAAGTATTCACTCATGCTCTTCATATAAAGAATACATATTAAAATAGATTTGGCAGCGTAATTGACCACTATCAAATATGAAACACTGCTGAAATCCAAGGACTGCATTTTATCTGAATTCCAATTTGAAAAGTCACACTTTATCTTATGGAAATCCAGTACCAGTGGTTCCATTGCTACACGAGTGAAATATCAGAAAGAACTTACAGCGAGATAATCAAACACACCAAGATTAAGCCTTTTCACTTTTGGTGATTGTAAGTAAATATCACTCATAGTTGAATGGTTTTCATCCCAGTAGATTTTATTTTTACACATCCCTTCTAACTACTATTTAGAAAACTATCATTCAATTATTTTGTGTGATAGCATAATAAGGCTTTATACTTAGGTATTTTATTGTATTGCTCTCTCTCATCAATGGAAAATATCCTGTTAATTAAAACAAAACAAGGATGGATGCATAGCTAAGAATAAACTTCTTAACTCCCCACATTTCTCCTAGGTTTTTTATTCCCTCGATCATGGTAAGGTCTGGTTCCGTCAATCAAAAGTAGAAAGAAGGAGCCAGGCACAGTGGCTCAAGCCTGTAACTCCAGTACTTTAAGAGGATTGCTTGAGCCCAGGAGTTTGAGAAGACCAGCTTGGGCAACACAGAGAAACCTTGTCTCTACAAAAAAATTTTAAAAATTAGCCAGGCATGGTGACACATGCCTGTAGCCCCAGCTTCTTGGGAGGCTGAGGCCAAAGGATCACCATGCTTCATTCTATCCTCACAACACCCTGAAGGTAATATGAGAATACCAGGTTTTACAGATAGGTAAACTGAGGCTCCACTGTGCAGGGGTCACACAACTAGTAAAGGGCTCTGCTGGGCAGCTCATGAAAGGCTCTCTTGGCAGAAGCTGTATCCATGGTTCCTTTCTAAAGTGTTGTCTGTATGTGGCTGTATTTTCTACCAAATAACCCTGTCACCTTGGCCACCACTTACTGGATACAGGATTGGTACTGGACTCAAAGCTGGCAGCCCATCAGAGAGCCTGCTGTGAAAAGATGGTCACACTTGCATGATCATCTTTTGTGGGGGGTAGGTTGGTGGCACCTCACTCTGTTGTGCAGGCTGGGGTGCAGTGGCACAATCATGCCTCTTGGCTCAGGTGATCCTTCTGCCTTAGTTTCCCAAGTAGCTTGGACTACAGCTGCGCACCATCAGACCTAGCTAATTTTTCTATTTTTTGTAGAGACAAGGTCTCACTACATTGCCCAGACTGGTCTTGAATTCTTGGGCTCAAACAATCCTCACACCTCTGCCTTCCAAAGTGCTGGGATTACAGGTGTTAACTACCACAACCGGCCTGTGGGATCTTTCATATAAAAGAATACAAGACTCCGAGGAAAGCAGATTGAAGGAGCAGCAGCACATGCAATCGCTCAAGCACTATTGTAGATGATGCAGCAAGCCGTAGGCTGGAGGAGAGCCCGCAAGCAGGTGCTTCTAAACAGAGTTAATGAGTACACATAAAGTACTCATTAAAGAAAATGGCAACTAATCCAAAAGCAGAAAGATTTCCTAAAACAACAAAGACTTGAGTATGCAAATTATGAACATAAAATTATTATAATCAATATATCAACAGAACATTCCCAGTGGCTTCAGTATTGTATAGTCAAGAATATTCATTTTTAGGAAAACAAGACTGCAACAATAAAGCAATGACAGCCACAAAAACCACCGAGCTTTATTCTCCATCATGGGACAGCAAATAAATAGCAAGATTAGATTCACCCAATAATTTTTTTTTTTTTTTAATACCAGCACCCAGGGCCCAAGTTAGACTGATAAAATCAAAAACTTAGGAGTTGGGCCCAAGAAATCCGAAAAATATAAAATAGTGTTTCTATTGTGCAGTTAGGGACAAGGTTGGCTGCTCTAGATCAGTGAGTCTCAGAGTGGGGCCCAAGGGTCATCAGCATCACCTCTCAGAACTTGTCAGAAATGCACATTCACAGGCCTCCTCCAGACCTGCTGAACCCAAAAGTTTGAGGGTGGGACTAGCAAGCTGTGCTATATAAGACTGTCCAGGTGATTCTGGTGTGCCCTTAAGTTTGAAAATCATGGCCTTAGAATAAAAGAAAGGTCACTCTTTCTTTTTATTACAGATATATAATACCAATCAACAATAAATTTTTAAAAATCCGCCGGGCTCAGTAGCTTAGCCTGTAATCCCAGAGCTTTGGGAGAACGAGGTGAGTGGATTGCCTGAGCCCACGGGTTGAAGACCCGCCCAGGCAACTTGGTGAGACCTCATCTCTACAATAAATCAAAAATTAGCTGGGCGTGGTAGCGCGCGCCTGTAATTCTGGCTACTTGGAAGGCTGAGGTGGAAGGATCGCCAGAGCCCAGTGGGTCGAGGCTGCGGTGGCCAGGAGCGTGCCACTGTACTCCAGTTGGAGTGAGACTCCAACTCAAAAAGAAAAAAAATCCTACAAATATGATAAGAAAGGCTAATTTCTTCAATTTAAACAACTCATGTAAAGACATAAAAAAACACACTTAGAACACAGGGATAAGCAATTAACAAAGATGTTTATTTAAATTATCATATAAAAATCAAGATACAAACTTATAAGTACAAAGTTTGCTTAAAATCATGGGGTGGGAGAAAGGGGAAATATACAAAGGAAAAATGCCAAAATAATAGCTGTGGTGGTTTCTGAGTATTGAGAGTACAGTATAGTGTTTAAAAAATAATAATAATAATATGGTATCTTCATAATTTCAAATATATATATATTTAAAGTACAGTAGCTTGGTCACACATATATTATATACAAAATTTAAAAGCAAAATGAATGCCAGTCATAGGGGGTCACGCATGTAATCCCAACACTTTGAGAGGCAGAGGTGGGAAGATTGCTTGAACCCAGGAGATCAAGACCAGCCTGGGCAACATAGTAAGACTTCATATCTATAAACATTTTTTTTTTAATTAGCCAGGCATTATGGTACGGGCCTGTATTCCCAGTTACTCAAGAGGCTAAGGCAGAAGGCTCATCTGAGCCTAAGAGGTCGAGGCTGTGGTGAGCCGTGATCGTGCCACTGCACTCCAGCTTGGGCAGCAGAGTGAGGCCCAACACAAAAAAACAAAAATAAAAACAAAATTAAAAAATTATTAGAAGGAAAGAAAGTATTTGTATGTAGGCCTTGGGGTAATAAAAACTTTCTTTAGACCAAAAAAAAAAAAAAAAAAGAGCAGAAACCTTAACTAAAGTGATTGATACACTTGAAAATGTTATAATTTTAAACTTCCCTAAAATAAAAAACTCCATAAACAAAATAAAAAGACAGGCCTGGACTGTGAAAAAACACTTACACCATGCATAGTGACACTGGGTCACTGCCAAAATATAAAGAACTCCTAGAGAGCAGGACATACACCTAATAATCAAAGGAGACTGATGCAGCCCTTGATGGAGCGAGTCACAGCAGAGAAAATTTAGAAACACAAACACGTGAAAAGTGTCTCAACCCCACCAGTAATGAGGAAAATGAGAAAACTGAAACAATGAGATATCATTTGTTAATCTATCAGGCTAGCAAAAATGTAAAAATCCATCAATACCAAAATGGTACACTCATGCTTTGCTGCTAGGGACATAAGTTTCGTACAACTGCTTTCAAGAGCAATTTGACAAATCTGGAAATACTGAGTCAACCTACCCAGTAATTCCACCCCTAGTCATCAACCCTCAGGTGCACAAGCATACATGTACAGGAAAATCTATATTATGTTCATTGTAGCAAAAAACAAACAAAAATGTGATAGCAATAGAGAAGAAACAACCTAAATGTCCATTCGCAGGGAAACAGGTAAATGAAATGTGGCACATCTAAACGAAGACATGCTATACAATAATAGTTATGGAAAATAAACTAGATCTATATGTAACAACATGGTTAATTCTCAAAAAATTAAGCCAAAAAAGGCAAGCTACAGGAGTAAATGTGTAAGACCATTTACATAAATTCTCCTTTGAAACAATATAGAGTCACAAATTATATCTTTGAAACTCTATATATACACCCACCTATGAAAAAAAAAGGTCTTTGTACAACCAGTAATAACACACACCACACTCACAACAGAGGTGAGGTGACTTCTGAGGGAGGGGCGGGGAACTAGCCCTGCAGATGGGGGTCAGAAAGGACTTTGGCTTACTTTGTGTTTAAAAAGATACCACAAACTAGTCTCCTAAATACCATTTTAAAAGAATTTGGAGGTAAGTCAAAGTATTAGTTTTTAAATCTGGGTGGAAGAAATATAAGTATTTGTCATTTTCTCTTTTGTATTTTCCTTCAGCTTTTCAATCATCTCCCTCCAAAAAGTGCTTTGCAAAAAAAAAAAAAAAAAAATCAAACAATGTCCTGTATAATACAAACATTTGCACCTGCCGCAATGATTTGACCCTGATGTGCTCAAACCATGTGGTTTTTATGATTTTATTGTATGTTGTAACACAAGTAAACAATTAAGTCAAAATTAGATCACACTTACGCATATAAGGCAGTTTTTCTGGACAGGGGAGGTTTGGTGAATACGTGAAGTTTTCCGGAAGATACGTTGTTGTTTGAATAAGATAATCACTTGAATTACTGCCTTCTGGATAATCTTGGGGAGAGAGAAAAAAAAGTTACAACCAAAAAATTGCCTTTTGTTTTGCCCCTCATAATGACATAAGTCACTGTCACTGTGAGAAAACTATAATATGCAACCTATAGAAGTACTTAAAAGCAATTATTTATAAAGAACAGAGAACTGCAGACCAGCTGTTAGAATGGGCAGCTTGGTATGATTTCCCAAGAGAAGTCCAGAGGGCAGCCACCCTTCTCCTCGCATACAAACATAGCAGTCCCACTTGTAACCACGTGAGAATACCATATTCTGGTTGAGCCACATCTTCAGGGAGTACGCAAGTAGCAGGGAATCCTCTCCACTATCACAAGGGCCAGGTGTTCTGAAGCACCCCACGGCCGCAGCACAAAGCAGAGGGGTGGGAGGAATGTTTCCTTTCCGCCTCTCACTGTGGAAACTGAGATTTCCCCATGCAGTCTACTTCTGTAATACAGCCCGTTCTAAGCCTTTCAATGAGTCATTCCCAGCCCGTAGGCTGCAGCCCTCGGGGAGCCTTGGAGCTATTGGTATGTTAGGTCCATTATCTTTAGAGTCAGCAAGTTATACTGCACACAGGGCAGTGGTTGAGGGCACCAAAGTCAAATGCCCGAGTTTCAAATCCTTGTGCGGGCACGCACCAGGTGTGTGATACAGGGCAGGACACAATGCAATTTTTCATCTATGCCTGCCTCATATTGTCGTTTGCAGATTTCAGTACTACAAAATGTGTAAAGTGTTTAGAACAATCCCTGGCCCATAAAAATATTCAATTAGGGGTGGTTATGGGTGATTAGAGATGAGCACCTGACCCATGAAACAGTCACAGGCTTAGGATTTTTGAACGTGGACCCACACAGATCATAGTTCAGTCCCTTTCTGGAGCAAAAGTCTGAAATGCAAGTCTGAGAACCATGGCGTGCTGGTTTCCTGCTATGTAGAGGAAGCTGACCTAAGAGAATGAGATCAACGTGCAGTGAGCAAGCACCAAGAGGTGGAAACAGCTAATTAAATGACTATCTGTCTCCTGGACCATAAAACATGTACACAGAAAATGAAACTCCAGCAAACACTTTAGGAGGATGCAAAGATATGCATTCAGTCTTCAGTAATCTGCTGCAATGAGAGAGACTGCAAAAGCTTAACCCTCTGATGCGTGAAAAATGGCAGAATCCTGCAAACTGAGTATGAAGTATGAGGGGAGAACCCCAAAAATCCAGAATTTATTTATTAAAAAATTGTGTATTTATTTTTCTATGTTTAAACTTCAGTCACTTTCAAAGTACTCTTCGTTTGATGCAATACTCCTATTGAGACACTTTTCCACCTGCCCAAAACAGTTTTTGAACTCATCAATTATGATATCTTTTAGTGCTTCTGCCGTTTTTAGTTTCACGTCTTCTATATCCACAAAAGTTTCCCTCTGAGAACTCTTTTTCACTGAGGAAAAAAAAAGAGTCGCTTGGGGCAAAATCAGGTGAATAGGGAGGGTGAGGCATGGGGATCATGCCATTTTTTGGTTAACTACTACTGAACACTCAGCATGGTGTGGGCAGGTTTTTTCATAAATCACCCAACATAAAATGAGCAAACACGTTGAAAGACTCTTCAAAAAAAATTCACTGAAGCTGAGTACCGTCTCTCGCAACAACCCTAGCTGGTACACTGATGCAATGGGTTTCTAGAATACTTACCTAGTAGGGGAAGCCTGTACTACAAGGGGCCTGCCCTCCAAAAAATAATTCTGGTTTTCTTGGGGTCCCTTCTCGTATGTGAGAAGAGCCAAAGAAAACTAAGCACCTCCAACATAAATATTCACGCATCCTCAAGACAGAGTTGGTGGGTATGCAGCCTGGGAGCCAGGAAAGTACTTCAGAGCAAAGAGACTCACCCCACCTCCAAGCCTGTCTCATAGAAGAAGCCCTGCCAAGGTTGTGAAGCAGAAGTTGCTGGGGATAGACAAAGACTCCACCAGGCCTGGTGCCAAGAAAGAGACAAAAGCCACAGGAGAAGGTCCAATTCCAAAGGACTCCAGGGAAACCCGTTCATTATAAATGTCACATGGCATCAGTAAGGGGTCAAGGTAACAGTATTGCCAGAAAACCCCAACCTGACAGAGACCGATGATGGTAAAACTGCTAAGGCCTATTCCACTAGGAAGTGGAGAAGCCTCAGTGAGAGTCTTCCCCAGTGTCTCTCTCTGGAGAGGCCCTGGAAAGCTTTTGACAAGGAAAATCCTCCAACCACAGGGGCAGGGAGGGGGGTGGAGGAATTCAATGAATGCTAATTGTCGGACCTGTCCAGTGACAGACCAAGTCCATGCTCCATGTCTTACCCATATGTGCCTAAAAGATTTAACAAAAGTTAAGTGTAAGGAAGTCTAATAAGGACTGATCCTTTCCTTAAGATGCTTTAAAAAAATACATCTAGAATATATTAAATTCAAGTTCATTGTTTTTTTTAAGTTTCTTCTTTATGGGGACTCCTACTTGGCTAGTACAGCAAGCATGAGTTAGGCTTCTATCAATGCCACTAAAAATGGTTAAGATTACTCGTGTGAGTTTTGTGACAGCTTTTAGTCAAATTCATTGATGTATACCTTACATTACTTATCTTCAATCTTCCTTGAAAGAAACATAAGACATTCTTATTTCAGGGACACAGTAAGAAAATAAAAATAAATAAAGAAAACACAAAAATAATTGCTAAAAATACATTCTGAAATTTAAAAAATCAAATCAAGCCCTCGTGTAGTGGTTCACACCTATAATTCCAGCACTTTGGGAGGCTGAAGTGGGAGGATTGCTTGAGCTCAGGAATTCAAGACCAGCCTGGGCAACATAGAGAGATCTCCATCTAAACAAAAAATCAAAAACATTAGCTGGATGTGGTGGTAGGCGCCTATAGTCTCAACTACTTGTAATATGGAAGTGGGAGGATCCCTTGAGCCCAGGAGGCCAAGGTAGCAGTCAGCTATGATTGCACCACTGCATTCCGGCCTGGGCAACAGAGTATGACCCTGTCTCTAAACAAAATTAAAAATAAATATTAAAAAAAAAAAATCAGATTGTAATAAGGTCAAAGCAATCTCCCAGAAGGCAGAAAGAGAAGGAAAAGAATTGAACAACAGGGGAGAAAAGATAATACATAACAAGAGTTCTAAAAAGAAAGAAAAATAGCAGGAAGACAAATGATCAAAAAAAACCAGAATTATTTATTAAACTTGAAGGATAAGAGTCTCCATATTGATAAGCCCAACTGAACCCAGTGAGAGAAGAAAAACAAAGCTCCAAAATGTTCTTGTAAAACTTCACAATACAGAAAAATCATGAAAGTCTCTAGAAAGAAAAAGCTGGTCCATGTACAGTAACAGCATTCAGAACAGTCATCAGGTTTCTCCAAAGCAACAATGGAAGAGAGAAGACAAGGGTAGGGGAATTCCAAAACCCTCCTCAGTGTGGTCAATTCATGTGCCTACAAGTTCAGTAAAATCAGTGACAGATGGGGGAGGCACAGCAAATGGAAGGAAAAGAGTTAACAAGTAAGGTCAACTAAAATAAAAAGATCCACAAAACAAATGTAAAGATGACCACTTAACTCAGGAAAACAAACCATTAATTACATACCAGTACTTAAGCAACATAAACAATACTGATTTGAATTAAAACTGCAACATAATCATGCTGGGAGTAAGGATAGGTAAAATGAGGTATACTATAAAGTATTAAATGCTTTTCTTCTATAACAGGAATAGTTACAACTGATAAATCAAGGGACAGCAGAATAGCAACATAAAGACAGAATAGGCTGCTAAAAACTAAAGTTAGTTCTCTCTGAGGATTGGGACTTAGGGAGGAGTGAAATAGGAGAACAGTTTTTAAAAATTATTCTTTATTATAAAAATACTGTAAAAATATGAAAATTATCTACTTTGAAGATATGAAAGTACTGCTTAAAATAAAAATGTAAGAGAGTTATTCACACTGTTTTCTTTTCAACATGAATAAATGAATGGTTAAAACATTAAATACTGAATGGCAAGTTCTCCAGAAGTTAGACAGCTGTCTCACACTCGGAGTTCATCTTACAGGATTTTTTCTTTAACAGAATTTTTTTGCACACTGCACCAGGAAGAACAGATAGACTACCTATACAAAGATGATGATTTTTCTTAATTTCTTCACTCTGTCAATTTTTATTAAACACCTACTCTACACTACACATTCATGAAAGCTGGGAAGAGAGATAAAGTTGTCCCTACTTGTACAACTATATCAATTTTTTAAAATACACACACACACACACACACACACACACACACACACACACACAGAGTTATCCCTGGGGGTCAACTACATGTATGTGTTTCAAACTCATTTTCTTATAACCCTGAGACAGAAAAATATTCTCATGCAATCCTTAAGTAATTTCTTAATGTCATGTGTTAACTTAAAATAAGAGCATTTTCTTACTCTGCATAATTTATTAATCTTATTAATATTTGGGTGCCTCCTCTTAGCTACATACTATGATTCTATAAGCTATAAACCCACAGAAATGTGAAGCTCTAGATATTTCTGCAAAACAAACTGTAACTCCCCCTGGGGAGTCTTGAGGGCCACAGAGAACTGTTTCACTTTTTATTTTAGTGCTGGAATGACTGAATCACAAAAGAACACATTCATCACTTTAGTCAGTTTTTAAAGAACTAAGTCTTTTTTAATGTCTTAAAGTCATACACTATCAGTATATTCACTTCCTTTGGAAACACAGCTTTGGAGCTAAGTATGCGTTATTCTTGGCCATATCATTATAAATGGGCGTAAGGTGCTCCACTCACTGCCAGACTTAGAGAAACACCTCCACATCCGTGAGCACTTTATCTAGCAGTATTTACATCTTCCTAACATACACACAGTCTACCCACTACCCTGGTTACTAGTCTGAACATCTCTTTTAATTGAAATCAAATTTTCTTTGATTTTTAGCATCTAATAAAGTAACTACAACATAGAAGGAACACAAATAAACACTTCATAGCTGACAATATAGCCAATATTGACTTAAGTTTTGAAGATTATGCTGCAAAAACTCACAAAATCGTTATTCCTACAAAAGTGGTGAGGTGAGCCATGTCCACCAAGTATAATAACCACTGCTTTCAAAGCCAGGAACAGTTTTTATAGGTTATGCATGACAGCTTTAAAAGGTAGACATTATTTCATCTAATGAATGGCTGAAAACAAAACAAGTTCTGGGTCCCCTGCTTTCTCCCTCCCCTCCAGGACCACAGCCAAAGACAAGGGAAACACAGGATGAAAACCACTAGACAGATCCCCTATTAACATACTGGACCTTATCATGTATAGGAAAAGGAGAAGACCAAAGGACGTCTCTCACCGGCTTTACCTTCCCGCAAAAGGGCAGCTGAAAACAGTAGTGGAAACTGATGAGAGTTCCAGTCTGTTTACAAACCACTAACTTGTCAGGTCAGGGGCCTTACTCCATGAATTCATGGAAACAAGTATCCACCAAATATGGAAGTGTGTTGGGTTATTTCTAACAAAATTGCAAACTCTAACACTTCATGACCCTTATCATCTGCTCCAGTAATTATTCACTGAATACATCTTGTTTTTTTCATTTGACTGGCTCTGTAGGCACAAGGAAAAGGATCACTTGATTATGAGAGTGTATGACTCCTTTAAAAAAAATTACATATCTATTTACATTTGATGCTGCAAAAAGTCAGGCACAGGACCTCCTTTTTGAAATAAAATATACTTGTAAATATCATATCCTGTTTACTATTTAATGTTAAATTGTAAATGAGCCACTATATATGAATCAGTTCTCCCCTAGAGCTCAATTAGCTCTCTGTATATCTTATAGGCCATTATCTTCTTTTTGGTAGATTATATCTATTTAAGTCTGTACAGAAATAACCAGTCGCATTACAAATAACCATTTATGTTCCCATGTCTCGCAGAAGCCTAGAGACCCTCATATAAAAGAAGAAGGTTTTTCCTAATGTTTTAACTCCAATATCTAGTTAAATATACCAGCTATAATAATAGTTCAATGTATATAAATAGTTCAATGTTGGCAAAATGAATATGGCAGAGCCTCATGGTTGCTAACAAACTCCACTTCCCCTTTCCCCTTAGGTTACAGAACCCCAGTGTCATTCAGAGTTCCACTGTGCTCAGCTCAGAGATTCTATTTCCTAGTGCCATTGCATGTGGCCATGCAGTAAAGTTCTGGCCAATGAGATGTATAAAGAAGTACTGGGTGGGGACTTCAGAGAAGACTCCTTCCTAGCGGGCACTGTATTTGGTCTTCTTCCCACTTCCTTTTCTCCTTCCTACTGACCCAAGGACAAATACAAAAATTGGAGCCCGAGCAGCCATCTTAGACTATGAGTCAACTACAAAGCTACAAAACAGAGCAGAAGATGAAAGGCAGCGAAGACTTACTTTGAGGAGCCTCCAACAGTCACAGATATCCAACTTCCAGACTTCTTTTACATGAAAACAGAAGATCCCGAGTGTTTAAGACACCACAGTCAAGTCCCTGTTACACCCAAGCCCAATCTCTAATGGAGACAATGACTGTCTCCTGAGAACAGCTTTACTATCAGTAAAGGAACCATATCAAAAGTGAACAAAGGTTCAGAAAAGTAAGCAAACTTTAATCAAAGTATGCACTGGTTCTTTGGTCTTTTCTGCAACTATGACTTGGTGAGGAGAGAAAAGAATTTCCTTTTGTTTTGTTTTAGTTTCGGGGTGCTGGAGGGAAAGTCTGACTCACCCAAGTAATCATTTCTCCTAATCAAGCTCAACATCCACACACATAACTCATTCATACCCCAGGAAAAAACAACCTGACATGCACAAATTTTTAGTATTCACTTACACAAACACACTAAACTAAAGATGCTTATTTTCTTTCAGTTGAAATAACTTTTAATTAACATTTTCATGATCAACTTATTCAACCACATAAGTCCTACAGAAGCTTTTTAAATGTTGTAAACTTCTAAAACTGACCTACTATTCAGAAGACTCACTCATGCAAAAGACCAGTTAATAAGACTTTGACTAGTATTAAAATATCAACTATGTTAAGACAGTCTGAAAGAAATTCCTTAAGATTCAAAGAAAACAAGTGTTTTGATTTGTGATGTCATAAACAAACTAGGCAAATGACTAGAATGGATTTTTTAAAAGCACATGTGATGTTAAATTGAGAATCAATATGTTACATGCTTGGATTTTTAGAAGGGTCTAAAACTATTCCCCACCTTAACATACATTTTAAAAAGAACCCCCAGGGTTGGGAGATGGAGACTTCCTTTTAGTAGAGTGTGTAGGTGTACAGTGGCACAAAGAACTGCTGACACGAATTAAATCTTTCATTTTAACTGTTTAAAATGAGACTACAGAGGATGCAGCAACTGTCAAGCCAAGGAACCCTTTAAAATAACACCTAATAATACTTTGGGAGACACTGCTGTAGCACTGCTATAGTGGAGCATTAACATGCTTCTGCAAGAGTTCAAACCATTTACGTCAGTTCTTTCATTATTAAATCATTAGTTTGGCATATTAGGTTTTAGCCTTATGTGATTCTAATGGAGATTCGACTTCCAGATTACATTTTAAAAAGACAAAAGCAGCTACTGATTCCCAACTGTATAAAATGTCTCTTTTAGCTCCTTAAAAAGGCTATAAAACTACTTAGAATCTATAACTAAAAACAAGTATTTTCTAGATCTAGTTGGAAAAACATTTCAAGACTCAGAATGGGCATGAGGAGAGAAGGTGGTCAAAAGTAATCTCTTTGTGGTTAATTTCTCTTAAATACAATAGGTGAATTGAAAGAGTAGAAGCTGCTTTTTGTGTTTTGTTTATGTTTCCAAGAATTAACTTGAGTATCTTTGTATCAAAACCCCATCACTTTTGTGACCACACATCCTAAAATAGGTGGCAGTCCTGATTTACACAGTAAAACAATCTACCAGTACACTTGGTCGAAGATACCTTCATCTTTAACAGGAAGTTACTTGGAGGCAAAACCAGAGTTTAAAAGACTTGGTTTACTGTTATGTGACTACAAGGGTAAGAAGCAGATCAAAGCACGATTAAGCAGAAAGTAATCTTACCTGTGCCGTTGAGTGTACTGTTTTTATTTGTGTATAGCCTGATCATATGGCCTATTGTCTTCACATTTTCTCTCAACATTATACCTCGAGCTTGTACCATAAAGAGATATGTATTGGCTATAAAAGAAAAAAAAGAAAGCACCATGACTCAATAACATTTTTTTACTTAATAAAAACACTATTCAGAATTGGTAAAGTTCCCATAAACACAAACTGACTCAATCATCATGTCCAAGGGAAAATCAGAAATATGAAATGACTATTTCCCACTATAAAAACTCAGAAAAGCAAAATTATTAGAATAAAGAATTAATGTGGCAATTTCATCTGTTAAACAGAATAAAACTAAATTAGCAAACTGAAATATCAAAATGAACTCCTTTATCCATAAATTACTTTCTACAAGAAAATATACTCTGACATTTCAAAAAGGCATTTTGTTACAAGTACTCATCCTATAGTTCCAAAATTCAGTTTCTCTATATATTAATTTCCTCAAACCAAAAACTTCACAAAGGCAAAAGAATTCCTTATCTAACAGTAAATATATCATAAGTTTCCCTACAATATCTAGTATAGATAAAGATCTTGCAGCAGATCCTGCAAATTCTCTGTATGTTGGAAGGGGGGTAAGTGATCTAGATTCCATATCTGCTTTGATAATTTCTCCCTAAGAGTTAATTCTTTGACCTTTTACACTCCCGTTCAGCCACACATTCACCTGCCAGGATTGTAAAAGCAAATACAATAAAAATCAATGTATATTTTTTTAAATGGGTAAAACTAACTCTTTGTGTTAAGTGCTTTGAAAATAGACCTGTAATTTCTTCTGCTGCTAAGAGAAACCGGTGGTAAACTGACAAAGATCACAAAACCCCTGACTTCTGAGAAACCACCCCTCCTCAGAGGGACACAGAACTGAAGTTGGAAAATCTTTTCCTGGTCTGAATTCTGCAAGCACTGATGCATGACTCTGGACAGCTCCCTGAATCTCAAGTTTCCTTGTTTTAAAAATGGCAGCAGTGCACCCTTCTCCTCTAAATTCTTAAAACACAAAGTCAAAAAAAATCACAAACTCCATTTAGATGAGAGGCAGCAGCTCTTTACCATGGCAAAACCAAGAGACGACGAGGCTCGGTTAATGACGTTTTCCATTTTATGACGGGCTGTCTCTGCACAGTCATGACATGATGAACGCTGAATGAAAGGATGAAGAATGCTAACTAACTTTCTGAGTCCTGCTCTACTTTCTCAAGAGGGAACAGAGAAGTTAGAAAACTGTAATGTTTACTACCTCCTTCCCCATTTATGTAAAGTTGAACTTGCTCAAAACACAAACGAGCAAAGCATAAATAAAACTGGTAGAGAAGTCGAGTAGAATAACACTTTCGCTTTCACCTTCAATCCATAAAAGACATAAACAGAAATCTAGGTTTCACATAAGCTTTGCCACGATCATTTTTAAAAGCATGTCTACAGGCTTTCTAGAAAGCAGTCCTATAATTAGATTTAACTTGTTTAGGCCTGAATTGTATTATACTGGCTCTCAAACACCACATACCACACTTTTTATTCTGTTTTTGTACCTGAGTGAACTTTAAAAGAATAAAGAAAGGAGTCAACCAAAAAATGTGAGGAAATGTTCACTAAAAGGCACACTAACATGAACAATTCTACCTAAACCAAGATCTGAAGTTCAACTAAAATGACACGGGTTGTGGGGAGCATCAAAGAGATGGCTGAAGCCGACTGGTTTACAGCACCTTGGATTACTTAACCCTAAGGTGTATATGAAAGGTGTTGCCAGTGATATAAATATCTTATAATATTTGTTCTATACCAAATTGTAAAAAGAAATCCTGCCACCGAAGTAGAACCAAGCCAAAGGCAAAAACTCTAAACTTCCAGAACTGATACCGGCTTCAGCAAAGAGATGCTAGGTAAGAGTATTAAGTGCATTTTTGTGTGTCCTGGAAACAATTTTTAAAAATTATATCACTTCTAGGTAACAAAGTTGTTAAGAAAAAAAAATTTTTTAATGTAAATTATTTACCAAAAGAGTGCATTTACTATTCATTAGACCGAAGACAAAAACTAACAAAAGCTAGATACCAATCCCTCCAAATGGAAAACATATTGTTTATTTTAAATCACTTACAGTTAATTGAGTCACATTCCTTAGGTTAATAGTTCTCATGGGTTTAATCCCTAAAGATCAAAGCCCATTAGGGCATGAAGCTGTGTTTAAATAGAGAGTAGTTGTTAACAGGAAGAAAGTTATGTGTCAAAGTGTTGCAAGACACACTAAACCAGCATGAGAAAGGTTCTGACTGTCTAATTTCCAAACACCATAAAACTATATTAACCCACACTCAAATAACTAAATATTTGCCTATTATTCTTAGTATAAAATGTAGTATCTTCTTGGGAAGTCTTCAGTTAAAGAAAATCCTTGTCTAAAATTTCTATCCCAATTTATAAAAAACTACATTTCAAAAAACAAATAGGGAACTCTATGACTGTTTAACTAAAACAATGCCGTGTGTTCCCTAATTTCATTCATTTTCTATCTGCCTCTGCATCATGAGACATAAATCTAATTTACTAGTTCTGCTTCCTAGAAGGAAAACAAAACAATAACAACAAAAACCAACTAAATATCTAAAAAAGAAAAACTATTAGCTGGGCATGGTAGCACATGCCTGTAGTCCCAGCTACTTGGGAGGCTGAGGCAGAAGGATCACCTGAGACCAGGAGGTCAAGGCTGAGGTGGGCCATGATCATGCCACTGCCCTCCAAGCTGGGTGACCCTGACTCAGAAAAAAAAAGAAAGAAAGAAAACAAAACCAAAAGAAGACCTTCAAAAGTCATCAGTTTACTAAAGTTCCTGGGCATCTTCCCTGGGTTGTGAGGAAAGAGATTCATGAACTTGTCTCATTCCCCACTTGAAAAAATGAAAGAACGCATCTGCTATAAAACTGTCTCCCTGTCTCTTTCCACATCTAGTTTCATTAACTGACAGCTGTAAGGACTCAAGACGAGGAGATCACGCCTGTCTGCAGGGATCTCGAAACACTTCCTGAGCTTCGAAGGATCCCACATCATCCCTCTCAGCCTGATATCGCTGTTCCTAACTGCTGTGACATGCAATCATGATTCCCAGGTCTTTTAATAAAAACCATCAAGGGAAGAGCTGATTTTGAGAGGAAAATAAGGCTGGTTAAGAAAGCCAGCACGCAGTTATAAATGTAGGCCCGCAGCTAGAAAGAGGGACTAGAAATACAATTTAGGGAGACAGACGTTTGTATAAATGCAAAAAGATGGAACTATTATGGTGAATTACCAGAAGAAAAATTTATCTAGGAGGGAGATAAGGTGAAGATCTGTTGAAGACAGACCACGAACAGGAGACACAGAGACAAAAGATCCCAGATGAGTTCATCTCAGCTTGAACGCAGTGAGGAAGCCAATGGACTAAAGAAGAGGGTGAGGCCGACCATGTCAAGAGCTGCAGAGGTTAAAGAGAAGAATTTACAAGCAACAGCTTAAAAAAATGTTTTAAAAAAATAAGACACAGCATATGCTCTTTGCCACGTATCCTTAGATGTACCTTACATATACTCATCTATTTAACCCTCAAAAGGAACCCTGTAAGGTAGGTACGAATAGTATTCCCATTTTCTAGATAAAGAAGCTGAGGCATGGAGTTGAGTAACTTGCCCAAGGTCACAGGGTTACCAAGCAAGTGGTGGAGCCAGAGTTCAAACCCCAGCAGCCTGGCTCCAGCAAGCTCACTCTTTACCACCACACCATTTCGCTTCTAAAAATGCCACAAGGCAGCAATCTCCTTGGGTCACCTCCCACTGTGGGAGTTTTTTTGTCTTCTCCATAAATCCTACTTCCTAAAAAAAAAAAAAAAAAAATGCCAGGAGGAGGTCACTGCAAGAGAGCAGCTTCAGGAAAGTGTGGAAACAAAAGGAAAACAGCAAAGAATTCAGGCCTACTGACAAAGTAAAAGCAGTAAGTTTCAGCAAAGGAAAATAAGTACCAAGGCCAAGGGAAGGTTTTTCGGAAGAGGAGGGACCTGAGCATGACTGTAGCCTGAGTAGAAGAAGCCAGTGGCACAATCACAGTTTCTTAAATAATGCAAAGCCCTAAAAGAAGCTAGAGGAAGGGCCGGGCATGGTGGCTCACGCCTGTAATTCCATCACTTTGGGAGGCTGAGGTGGGAGGATTGCCTCAGCCCAAGAATTCTAGACCTGCCTGGGCAGCATAGTGATACCTCATATTTACAAAAAAGTCAAAAAATTAGCCAGGCATGTTACCATGTGCCTGTAGTCCCAGTGACTTGGGAGTCTGAAGCAGAAGGATAACCTGAGCCCGGGAAGTGGAGGTTGCAACGAGCTGTGATCATGCCACTGCATCCAGCCTGGGTGACAGTGAGACCCCAACTCAAAATAAGAAAACAAACAAACAAACAGAAGAAGAAGAAGCAGCTAGAGGAAGGAAGGAAAAGAGCATTTCCACTGATGACATAGCTTAAGTAGAGGCTCTGAGGTGCACAGATGCACGCCCAGGGAACAGCAAGCCATGCTGAGCAGAATTTGGCCACAACAGAAAATAAGTTAGGAAGGTCCAAGTAGATGGAAGTTTGAAAAACAGAAGGGAAGGCACGAGGACGAGAGGTCACTGCAAGGATGAAATGTAACATTAACAAAGGCGAGAGAGTACCAGAAGCCGATGGTTAGGAAGGCTGGGGTCTGGAGAAGTGCAGGGGAGTACAGGCCACAGCGACATGGACCCCCAGGGCCTGGCCAGGAAAGTGAGGGTGGAAGGCAAGGGCTGGACATCCCGATGGTCACCAACATGGGTGTCAGTGGGGATAAAGTACAGCTGGAACATTCAGAATTGCGTGCTAACCACTGAAATCTCCCAGGGGTGCAGAATCTTGGAGGGCACAGGTGTCTAAAGAGGAGATGAATGAACATTTACCAAGTACCCACTGAGGCCAGGCACTGAGTTAAAAGTCATCTATAAACATACATATGTAACTATACACAAACAATTATATTTCATCTAATTCTTAAAACCATCTGTAGTTGGTTAAACAGAGACCA